TCCATCCCAGAAAAGCAGGAATGCCAGGAAATCCCGGTGTCCATCCCCGATCCTGTCCCGTGTGCCCAGGAAAAGCAGGAGCGCAAGGAAATCCCGGTGTCCATCCCAGAAAAGCAGGAATTCCAGGAGACCCCAATCCCCATCCCAGTTTCGTGCCCTGAACCCATCCCGCCTTCCCAGGAAAAGCAGGAGCGCAAGGAAATCCCCGTGTCCATCCCAGAAAAGCAGGAATTCCAGGAGACCCCTGTCCCCATCCCACTCCCAGACCCCGTCCCGTGCTCCCAGGAAAAGCAGGAATTCCAGGAGATCCCGGAGCAGCGCTCCCTTCCAGAGAAATTCCCTCCCCTGGAGCAGCAGCTGGAACAGCCCGGCCTCTGGCAGAAGTAGAAGGAAAAATCCCAATCCCGGAGATTTTTCTCCACGCATCCAGAGGTTTTTCCAAGCCTTTTTTTTTTTTTTTTTAAGTTTTTATTTTTAAACCTTTGCAGAGCTTTTTTTTGGTTGTTTTTTTCAGGAATTCCTTCCCGCCGCTCCTCCCGCTAACGCGTTTTCCTTTACTAACAGCAGGGAATTCCCGTCGGGAATGGTTTTCCAGCAGGGTTGTAGCTCAAAATTCCCAAATTCCTGCTTTTTTTTTTTTTTTTTTTCCCAATCCCAAGGCTTTGGAATGCCCCGAAAGCCCCCCCCCCCCCCAAAAAAAAATCATGGAACAGGGAGGGGTTCATAAAATTAAAAAACCCCAAATCCAGTGAAGAGCTCATCCCCTTTTTCCTTCTTTTCTCCTCTGGATTCCAGCTCCCACCTGGGATTTCAGGAAGTTTTTCCCTATAAATCAGATTTCTGCGGAATCTGCCTCCAAAACTTCCCAAAATCGGGAATTAAGGGGCTGAATATTTGGTGGAATTCAGAAGAATCCTTTGGGATGGAGGGGGGAAAAAAAAGGGAGATTTTTAGGATAGATCCGATTTTGGTGGAATTCAGAAGAATCCTTTGGGAATTGAGGGGAAAAAGAGATTTTTAGGATAGATCTGAGCTCTCTCTCCCCTTGAATTTCCTCGGAGGTGTCAAAGAACGTCTCAGGCCGAGAATATTGCATAATTATCCCGATTTATGGATCATTAACTCCACTCCAGACATGTTTGGGAAGGGATTAACCCCGGGCGTGGCGCAGACGGGATCAGGGAGGAATTCCAGCCGGGAATGTTTCGCCACCCGGCGGTGTTTGGGACTTTGTCTCGCAATTATTTTCGGCTGCTGTTGGATCCAGGATTGATTTCGCCGTGAAAATCCCACAATAAAAGCGACTTTCAGTACTGAGTTTTGGGAATTTTTGTTCCTGGTCGTGGGGATTTTTATATCGAGTTTTGGGTGATTTTTATACCGAGTTTTGGGGGGTTTTATACCAAGTTTTGGGGGTTTTTTATACCGAGTTTTGGGGGGTTTTGTACCGAGTTTTGGGAGGTTTTATATACCAAGGTTTGGGAATTTTTATCCCAAGCTTTGGGAATTTTTATACCAAATTTTGGGAATTTTTTAAATCAAGTTTTGGGGATTTTTTTCCCCCCAGGTTTTGGGGATTTCCCACGGCTTTTCCTGAGAAAGATGGAGGAGCTGAGGAGGCTCAGCTTGCAAAAGCCGGGGTTTGCCTTGATCAAAGCTGATTTTTCGGGGGGAAAACAAGAGAAAAAAGGAAAAGGGAAAAATGGGAGAAAATCACCAACAAAACCACCGGGAAAAACGAGGCCATTCCATCATTTTATTGCGCCACAACCCAAATTAAACCCGGAATTAATGATTCATTTCTAGCCCTAATTAAGCCCGTCTTGTCGCCGGGTAAATCCCGGCCGGCGAGCAGGTCCGGAGAGGTTCCCGGGAGCCCGGAGAGGTGGAGAAAAAGCGGGATTTGGGATTTGGGATGGATTCTACTTCTGCTTGGAGCACTGCTGCTGCTGCTGCTGCTGCTGCTGCTGGGGGAGGCTCTTGACGGCCGCCTTGGCCTGGCCTTTGGAGGCCTGGCTTTGCTGGACCCCCTTGGGAAGCGCCCCGCACTTCTCCTGGCACTGGGCCGGGATCTGCTGCGGCTGCTTCTGCTGCTGGGACATCCTGGATCAGCCTGGAATCCAAAAACAGCGGGATTTTAGGGGTTTTTTTGGAGCTTGGATTGGCCCTTTCGGGGCGTTGCGGCTCCGAGGTTGACCCCATGGATTTAATCCCGGAGCAAATCCAGGCGGCTCCCGGGATTAAATCCCCGAGGATGCTGCAGGGCTGCCCGGATTTTGGGGATTTCCGTTTCCAGCCCGTTTTTGGGGGGTTTCTTTTTGGGGATCCCACCCCATTCCCTGCGGGATCGGTGGCTCCACTGAAGGATGGGGGGATGGCTCTGCCTAAAACTGGGATCAGAGGCCAAACCCAGCCTAGCAAAGCCAGGAAAAGGCTGCAGAGCTGGAGAGGAGACAAAGCAGCACCTGGGGCTTTCCTTCCTTCCCTCTGCTCCTTTATTTCCTGGGAATCTCAACTTTAAATGCTCAGGGGGAAAAAAAATGTGGATTTGGAGGAAAGCTGGACTCAGGGAGAAGCTCCAAGAAAAGCGACCAAAGAGGAAAAGAGGGAAAATTTCAGGGTTGGGAGTTTTTGAAAGGGAAAAATCCTTTGCTAACAGTCCTAGAATTGGATACCAATCCCAATATTTGATAATATTCCCAGTATTTGATAATATTCCCAGTATTTGATAATATTCCCAGTATTTGGTGCCAATCCCAATATTTGGTATGGATTTTTTGGAACCACCACGTCCCTTCCCAGCTCCCTGAGACCGCCCAGAGCAGGAGCCACACCCAGAGCCACGAAATTAGGGCGGAATGAGGATTTTATCCAAGGAAACAGAGCCGGGATCCCTGGAAATCCGGGAAGCTCTTCCACCGTCTGCCCACGGACACCAACCTTCGGTTATCCACGGGATTCTTATCAGCCTGGGAAAAAATCACGGAGCTCTGAGCCAAAGAGCCCCAAAACCCCCCCAAAATTCCACCACCCGCTGCAGGCGGAATTTTTTGGGGATTGGGAAAGGAAAAGGGGGGGGAAATCCCGTTTTTTCCAAGCCCGGGGCAGCGAAAGGGGCAGGGAAGGACTCACCTGGCGCGTCCTGCGGGAGGAGGGAGCTCAGGAGGAGCCGCTGCGGGTGTGGAGGCTCCCGACGGAGCGGCTTTTATATCCCTGCGGAAGGGCCGATGACTCCGGATTAAACTCGGTGACCAGAATCTTTCACAACTGGAACCGGCTCCGCTCCCACCTCCTGGACCTCAGTCAAAGTCTGGGAGAGATTCCCTCCTCTCCCGGCTGCGGGGGACTGGGCACACCCAGGGCTGCTCATCGCCGGGTAATTTGTTGATAATTTATTAATAGTTCATTAATAATTCATTAATAATTCGGCCCGTCTCTGTTCCAGGCAGAGATCCCACCAGGAACCGGCAGCTGGGACGGGAATCATCCAATCACATCCACTCGGGAATGAGTTTTAGGGATGATTTTGGTTGGGGAGCAGCTGGGGGGATCTCCAGAAATCCCAGAGGGGTTGGGAATCTCTCCCATCTCCTGGGAAAAGCAACAGATCCCAGCTCGGAACCCTGCGATTCTGGATTTTGCTGTTTCCCTTCTCTAATTCCCATCCCAAGAACAGGAATTAAACTTTTCTTTTTCCTCCCCAAGAAATTAGGAAAATTTTCCAGGCTCCTCCACCTCCACCCTGATGAAATATCCCCAACTTATTGCAAATATTCCGGGAATTCCAGCAATTCCTGGCGCTGACCACAGCTGGTGCATCAGGGCTTGGCCACAGGAAATGGCCGGGTCCCTCTGGCCACTTCCTCTGGATTTTCCAGGTGCTCTCCTGACCCCTGATCCCAGGGAAAACGGGGAAAATTCCAGTGGCTGGATGGATGGGGATGAGGATGCTCCAGAATCAGGTGACTCACGGAGCAGAGGAGCTCCACGTGATTCCCAATTTAAATTTTTAACATGATTCAGGATCTCAACCTCTTCCAGGCCTCCAAGAGGACACCAGAGTGGCATTCCAGAGCCTGGATCCCCAAAAGTTTGGAGGAATTTGGGGCTCAAATTCCTCATCTCCCCATCCACTTTCTTGGGAATTCCTGGTCCAAGTGTGGGGTTGCTTTTCCTGATCCCCAAAACCTCCTCCGTGCCCCCAGGATGCCGCAAAAATCACTCCTGAGGCAGAGCCTGGATCCGAAAATTCCATGGAGGAATTCCAGGTGCTAATTCCTCATTCCCCATCCGTTTTTTTGGGGAATTCCTGCTCCAAATTTTCCCCTCCTCAGGTCCTAATTCCTCATTTCCCATCCTTTTTTTTTTGGGAATTCCTGCTCACAATTTTCCCCTCCTCAAGTGTGAACTCCTCATTTCCCCATCCATTTTTTTTTGGGAATTCCTGCTCCCGATTTTCCCCTCCTCAGGTCCTAATTCCTCATTTCCCATACTTTTTTTTTTGGGAATTCCTGCTCCTGCTTTTCCCTCAGGAGTGCTCAGGTTGTTTTTTTGTGCTCAGGTTTTTATTTTCAGACGTGATCCCCCCCGTTCTGAGGGCGTCACCTTTCGGTGTCACCTTTTTCGGTGTCACCTCCTGGTGTCGACATCGAGGGACACCGAGAGGAGCCTGCTCCTCGCCTCCCCACCTGCACATTAAAAAGGTTTGGAAACAGATTTGGAAACACCGCTGGCACGCCCCTGAATATAAATATCTCGCTTTTCTTCTCCAGATTAGACATTCCCCACCCTTCCCTTAATGAGGGGGTGGGTGGGGAGCGATTTCAGCATTCCCAGACTGGGAATGGCGTGGCCGGCACGGAGACGGAGGTGAAGAAAGCCACAGGCACAACCTTTATCTCCGGAATTTGGGGTTTTTAATGGGTTTAACTCCCTCCGGGCAATGGGGTCACCCTTCAGCTTCAAACTTATCCAGAATAAAGGTGTGTTTATATTTATTTAAAATTTTGCCTTCCAGGTGTTCAGTTCTTTCTTTATTAAGGCTTTCTTCCATTTAATTCGCCTTTCAACAGTTTCTAGGATTTGCCCCCAAAGCCTCAAGCTGTGAAGACCAAAATTCTGTCTGAAAAATCAGATTTCTATCAATAATATTCAGGAAATAATTGATGATGATTTCCTTGTAGAATTAGAAGGAATTTCTCCATATTAAAATGTGGGGTTTTTTTACTTCCGGCACCAAACCCCTCCCCAACCACTCTTGGAAACGGAAATTACGGAAGAAGTTTTGGGGTCTGAGGAGGTGGAAACGGGGAGAAGAAAGGCAAAAGACACCTAGTGCCATCGATGGTCATTTTTTTATTGCTGCACAGAGAATTGACAAGACTGAGAAGAGACAAGAGGAGAAGGGAAGGGGAAAAGCGTCGGCATCTTCCACCACCAGCTGCTGACGGCGCTTCCCGAGGTTCCCAAAATATCGGGAACGCCCAAGGAAAAACGCCGGCGCGGCAGGAGCAGAAGTGAAAACACAGGGAAACACTGGGAGAGGAAACGTCTTCCAAGAGGAAGAGAACGTGGCAGGATCAGAGCAGGAGAAGCCTGGTTGCGTCGCCGATGGGTCTGCGCCGTGTTTTCCATCCCGGAACGCGCGGCTCGGGCTCCTCACCGGGGTCACCGGAGCCGCTCGGCGGGGCCGGGATCAGCAGGGGTGGGAGCAGGGCTCCAGGCACACGGTCTCGCACGACTCCACGCACTTGGCGCTGCAAACCTCGGCCTGGCACTGCTCCACGCACTTGGTGACGCAGGGCTCCGCGCACGGGGCGGGGCACTGGGTGGGGCACTGGGTGGGGCACTGGGTGGAGCACTGGGCGGGGCACTGGGTGGAGCACTGGGCAGGGCAGACATCCACGCACTGCGGGACGCAGCTGGTGGCGCAAACGTCGACGCACTGCGGGACGCAGGGCTCCGCGCACTGGGTGGCGCACGTGGTGGCACAGGGCGTGGCGCAAACGTCAGCGCACTGCGGCACGCAGGGCTCGGCGCAAACGTCGGCGCACTGCGGCACGCAGGCGGTGGAGCACTGGCTGGCGCAGGGGGCCTGGCAGACCTCGACGCACTGCGTGGCGCAGGGCTCCGGGCACTTGGAGCACTTCTGCAGGCAGATGGGAGGGGGCAGGCAGGGCTGCTTGCACTGTTCGTAGTAGTAGGACATCCTCAGGAAAAGCTGGGAAAAAACTGGGAAAAAGCTTGGGAAAAAGCTGGGAAAGAGACAAAAAAAAAAGAGAAAGTCAGGGTATCGGTCCATGCTTATCGACGGCGTGAGGTCTTGGCAGGTTCGGCTGAGGAATGTTGGGAAAAGCCGCCTCTGTCCAGGATTCCTGGGTTCTGGAGTTGGAAGGGACCCACAAGGATCTCACCAAGTCCAGCTCTCCAGGGAATGGCCCCTGCAGGGATCAAATCCATGAGCTCGGCGTTGTGAGCGCCAAGGTCTGGGCTAATCCCGGGGATTTATGGAATTATTGATGGAATTACGCTGCCAGAGAATCCCTTCCTTCATTGGGAGCCTATTAGGAATCCTCGAGCAGTAATTCCTGAATTTTACTCTGGGATTGCCCAGAGTCCAATTTAGTAGAAGCCAGAAGAGAAAAATTCTTCAGTTCCTGCTATTCTGGGATCCATGGGCAGATGTTCCAGGGTTTATCTCCTCCTTTTCGGATCCTCCACCCACCTGGGCCCGTCCCCCATGCTGGGAATTCCCAACCACAAAGCCCAGAGGCCACAAATCCCGCCATCATCCCATGGAATCGTGGCGTGGTTTGGGTTGGGAGGGATCTCAATGACCACCTGCTTCCAACCCAGACCGAGTTGCTGCAAGACCTGTCCAACCTGGCCTTGGACGCTTCCAGGGATGTGGAATCCGTGGAATAACCTGGAATAACCAGGGCCTCGCAGTTCCTTCCCCAGATCCAACCTAAATTTCCCCTATTTCAGTGCAAACCCTTTCCCCCTTTTCCTGTCTCTCCAGTTCCCGAGGAAAAATCCCTCTAAGTCTTCCCTGCAGATCCTGGAGCTGAGGTCTCCACAGGCTGAACATTCCCAGCTCTCCCATCCTGATGATCCTCCAGATCCTGGGGCGCCACTGGAATTTTTTTGGGGTGGGGATAAACGTGGCTCATCCATTGGTGAGGGAAGGGTTGCAGCGCCCATTCCCAACTCATTTCCTCCTCCTGGCTTCTCCCAGAGGTCTCCCCTGGCTTTGCCCTCAGGAATCCTGCAGCTCCCTCCTCCTGGATAAAGCCTCTTCCCACCCATCCCGTTTGAAGTCCCAGGAGCTGTTCCGCAGCATCCATTAATTTATTTAATTCCCAGCCTTAACGAGGTAGGAACAAATTAAGCAGGAGGGAGGAGGAGAGGCAGCCACACTTTCGAAGGTGACTTCTCCAAGCTCCTCCAGGCAGAGCAAACCCTAAATAAAATCCCCAATTCCAGGAAAATCCCTGGAAGAGACGCACGGAAGCGAAGCATTCCCGGGACCCGGAATGAACACTCTTCTCCACGAGATATCCTGATAAAAATTCCCTGATAAAGCCAAGGAGAACTTACCGGGTCACCGGTCCTGGCGAGCGACGGAGAAGCCAAAGGAACTGGCGGGAGCCTCCAAATCCGAACCTTTTATACGGCCGGAGTGGCGTCAGCTCCGGAAGCGCGGGAGCCCAGGGGGACGGACAGCTGACCACAAACTGCCCCGGCAGGCTCCACCTCCACATGCTTTGCATGTTTGTTTGCATCCTAATTTTTGGTGGAAGCCCTCTTCCAGGAAAGCAGGTGATGCTGAGCCAGCCCCGCGCCCATCCCGGTCATTCCCAACGGGAATGGCAGAGTCATTAAAAAAAAAACCAACCCAGCAAACCAGAGGGTGATGAATTAATTGGTTTTTAGGAAGGGTTTTAATGTGCCGCGACGTTTCCACGGCCTTATTTCCATAAATGTCGGGTTTTGATACCTGGGGTTTTTCCAGCTGGGGAATGGCTGTTATTAGGGAAGATGGATAATTAATTGGATTTACTATGGGAAATACCCTGTCCTAATTCTCATGGGAAGGCACAACCGATCCTCCAGTGCTCCCACAAAACCCTGAGGTCCCTGTTTTCCTGGTAAATTAAATTATTTCATTCATCCAACCCATTCTTCTCCATGGATTAACCATCCATGCTTGGAAATTCCAACAGGGACACAACTCCTGGTCCTTTGAGGAACATTTCAAGGCGGAATAATCCTCATTTTAAAGATGCTTTTCCCTCCCACAAAAGCACAAAAGGCTCCAGTTTAAGTGGGATTTAGGCCCGGGATACAATTTTTATTAAACTTTTGCTGATTAAGGAAAATCCACCTTTCTTCCAGGTATTCCAGTCACGGAGGTGGGAATGTGACCATCACAAGAACGCTAAACAGAGGAAAAAAAACCCACCCAAAACCAACCAACCCAGCACGAGCAGCACGTCCTGTTTATGCCCCAAACCCGGAGTCTCCCGGAGAATTCCAGGCGTCAGCACCGGTTCCTTCCCAGGAATTCCAGCCGGAGCTGACGGATCTCCACGGCTTTTGGTGGCTCAGCTTTTCCACAGACTCAGCTCCTGCCCCCTCTCCGGAGGCTGCGCTGCCCCGGAGGCTTTTCCAGGGATAAATTTGGATTCGCGGAGTGTGGTTTGCTCGTCTTAAACACCTCCTTTGCCACAGGAGGAGAAACTGCACCCGGCAGGAATTTTAGGCAGACGAATCCCTCCTCGTTTTCTCCTCCTCGAGCTGCCGGGTGTAGAAATTTTCCCCCCAGAGCTGCTTCCAACTCTTATCTTCCCGAGGAATATCCCATATTCCGGTCGGAACGGCTCCTCGTTATCTCCTCAGGCTCCAGGCTCACCTCAAAACCATCTCTGAGGACCGGTCCTGCGCCTTTCCAACCCGAGTTATTTTACACCCCGTCGTTAGCTTTGATTAGCGAGAAACTGGAACCTTCCAAAGGCGGATTAATTCCGGAGACGTAAAGGGATCCGCGCTGGCAGCGGGTGGGAACGTCAAGGGGGTGGGGTGGTTATCCCTAATTGGGGATTATTTGGGAATCTCCATTACGTTTATGGGCAATTGGAGCCCTCGGAGTCGTCACGTTGGTGCCGGTGAGTCAGGACCCCGCAGCCACGTCCTCCGGTGGCTCCGGTGACTCCTCCCCGAGCGGGTCAGGAGGGAATTCCAGGAGGGAATTCCGTGAGGGCAGCACCCCCAGCTCCAAGGGTCCAGCCCCATCTTGTGCTGGAGGGACAAAGATTTCCCAGCATCCCAAAATCCCTGAGCTTGGGGAAGATCTCCCACAGCATCGAGTCCGAGCTGTGCCCGGTCACCGCCTGGTGACCCAGACCAACATCCAGGAATTCCTCGGACACCTCCAGGGATGGGATCCAAACCTCCCCGAGCCCCTTCTGAGGCTTTTCCCCTTTTTCCAGGAAGGATTTTCCCAAATTTCCCACTCTGAACCTCCCCTGGCACAGCTCGAGGCCGTTCCCTCTTGTCCTGTCCCTGTTCCCTGGGATCAGATCCCAAATCCCACCTGGAAGAGCCCAAAATTCCCCCTGGATCCCCTTTTTCTCCAGGCTGAGCCTCCTCAGCTCCCTCAGGATTTTCCAGACCCTTCTCCAGCTGCTCCAGCCCCGTTCCCATCCCACTCTCCAACCCCTCCTTGTCCATTTTCCCATGATTTTCCAGAACTGGACACGGGGCCGAGCTCCAACCCCGTGCGTGATTCCCATTTTCCCAAGCAAGAAAAGGAATTTTTTTTTTTTCCTGCATATTTCCATCGATTCCCAGGGAAATCAGGGATTCTCCCCATTTTCCTGCCCCATCCCTCCACTCCCGGTCACAATTAAACCTCCCGGGCCCTCATCAGACCCAGCTTTCCCCTCTCCTCATTCCCACAAGGTCCCGGGGAAGGCGGGAGGGTCTGAGCCGGCTCCCGGCTGGCTCCGGGAATCCTGGAATTTTTGGGATGCCGGGAGGATGAGAGAAGAGGACACTGAGCCTCACATGGACGCGAGCGGCTCCTTCAGCCCGTGCCCGAGGGAGAATTTGGATCCAGCCACGAGGTCCCGGTTCCCGGAGGAACCCAAATCCCACCATTCCAGCCTCTTTTCCTGTTTACTCCGGAAGGTGAGCGCTCAGGGAAGAATGACAATTAGCACCCGGGTAATTAAATCTGGGAAGGAGGAACTGGCTGTGGTTATGGAAAAAAAAAACAAAAACAAAAAAAACCCAACAAACAAAAAAACAAAAAAAAAAAACCAACAAACAAAAAAACAAAAAAAAAACCCCCCAAAAAAAACAAACCAAAAAATGAATTCCTCACCTCTTTTATATCTTTGATTTTTCTATATTATTTTTTTTTTCAGGAAAAATCCCTGGATTTCCTCTGGATATTTTTTTTTTTTACTTTTGTGGATAAAATTGTTTTGATCTCCGTGGAAATTTTAGAGCTCGGAGAACTTCACCCCACAGAGTGATTCTACAACATTTTCTTGCGGTGAGCAGTGATTTTTCTGCCTGTTTTAATTTCACAGGTGTGGAATAAACATCCAGGTGCTCACGCAGATAGAATTCCCGTCTGGATTTGGTTTTTTTAACCCTGGAAATTGTGTTTCTGCTCTCTGCCGCTCCGAGGTGATTTAAATCTGAATTTTACAGACATCTGAAGGATTAAATACCACGCCAGAAGGGAAAAACTAATCCAAAACCAATTTATTTTCCCACCTGCATTTTATTTCCCAGAAAACAGAGATTTGGGAGCAGGGGCGGAGGAAACTTTCTGGCGCAGAAAATTCCAGAAAGGAATTTTCGAGGAGTTTTGGAGAGGTTCTCCCCACAGAGAGGAGGGAACAGAGGAGCTCCAAGGTTGTCACCGAGCCCTTGGGGCATCTTTGGAGGAGATGGTGGCGGCTTCCAGACGGTTCCACCCTGTCTGCCGCCGCCCCCGCTCCTTCTGCCCGAATTCCAAGGGGGATTTGCTCCCCAACCCTCCCCGGGCCGTCCTCCTTCCTCGGGAATCTCCTGGGATGGTCCTGACCCGCACTGGGGTTTTGGGATCGGTGGGAGAGCAGGGATGTTCCCCTTTATTTGGGTTTTCTGGGTGTTTTGTCAGCGGGTGGGAATGAGCTGGGATTGAGCTGGGATTGATCTGGGATTGATCTGGGATTGATCTGGGATTGGTCTGGGATTGGTCTGGGATTGGTCTGGGTTATCAACCATTGATCTGGGATTGGTCTGGGATATCATCCATTGATCTGGGATTGATCTGGGATATCATCCATTGATCTGGGATATCAGCCACTGATCTGGGATATCAGGCCAGTGTCAGGATTGAGGGAAGGGCTGGGGCTGTGCCAGGGGTTGGGAATTGGGAGGGATTTTGGGAAAAGGTTCTTCCCACCGGAATGTGGGAGCGCTGACCCCACGGAACGGTCACCACATCCCAAACCCACCAGGACAACGCTCCCATGGACACGGTGGGATTTTGGGATGTCCTGGGCAGGGCCCGGAGCTGGATTTGATGATCCCTGTGTGTCCCTTCCATCCCAGGGCACTCCATGATCCCCGCGAGACCTTTCCCAAGCATTTATTTTTTTTTTTACGAAAATCGGGATTTTAGGAAAGGAATTAAAAGGATAAAAGGGAAGCGAAGGAAATGCACGAGGCCGATGCCAAGATCGTTTCTTTTATTGCTTCAGACACGGAAAGGAAAAGGATCACGGGGAAGAAGGAAGAGGGGAATTCCTCCGCTGCGAGGGGGAACTGCGGATTCTTTCTCCCGGGGAACAATCCCGGGGGCACAAAATCGCTCGGTTACATCCCGCGAGGAAAGGCGCTTTCTTGAGGTTAAAAACAGCAGGAACGAGGCAGAACGCCAGGAAAAATTAAGGATTTACTCTTCCCTTGGAGATTCCACGGGGAAACCCCCCAAGGGGAGCGGGATCCCCTCAGGGAGCCCGGAATTTCGGGCAGCAGGAGACGGGGCAGCACTGGCCGCAGACGGGGCAGGTCTGGGTGACGCAGGTGGTGGAGCAGGAGTCGGAGCACCTGGTGACAACCTGGACGCCCCCGCGGCCCTGAGGGGTGGCACAGCAGGGGTCTTGGCACCTGGTGGCACATCTGGTGACGTCCTGGCAGCATGTGGTCATTCCCTGGCAGCAGGGGTCTTGGCACGGGGTGGGACAGGTGGTCACTCCCTGGCAGCAGGGGTCTTGGCACGTGGTGACACATCTGGTGGCACAGCAGGGGTCTTGGCACGTGGTGACGCCCCTGGTCACCCCCTGGCAGCACGTGGTCGCTCCCTGGCAGCAGGGATCCACACAGCTGGTGGCACATCTGGTGGCACAGCAGGGACCTTGGCATGTCGTGGTGCACTTGGTGACCTCCTGACAACAGGGATCGACACACCTGGTGGCACAACAGGGATCCTGGCACGTGGTGACACACTTGGTGACCTCCTGACAGCAAGGATCAACACACCTGGTGACACATCTGGTGGCACAACACGGATCCTGGCATGTCGTGGTGCACTTGGTGACCTCCTTGCACCATGGATCCACACACCTGGTGACACACTTGGTGACCTCCTGACAGCAAGGATCAACACACCTGGTGACACATCTGGTGGCACAACACGGATCCTGGCATGTCGTGGTGCACTTGGTGACCTCCTTGCAACATGGATCCACACACCTGGTGACACACTTGGTGACCTCCTGGCAGCACGGATCTTGGCATGTGGTGACACGCTTGGTGACCTCCTGACAGCAGGGATCGACGCAGGTGGTGACACGCTTGGTAACCTCCTTGCAACATGGGTCCACACATGTGGTGACACACTTGGTGACCTCCTGGCAGCAGGGATCCACACACCTGGTGGCACACCTGGTGGCACAGCAGGGATCCTGACACGTGGTGACGCACTTGGTGACCTCCTTGGAACACGGATCCACACACCTGGTGACACACCTGGTGGCACAGCAGGGATCCTGACACGTGGTGACGCACTTGGCGACCTCCTGACAACACGGGTCCACACACCTGGGGTCACACCTGGTCACGCAGCACGGATCCTGGCACGTGGCAGGGCACTTGGGCACCTTCTTGTAACACGGGTCCACACATCTGGAGCTGCACTTGCTCCCCTTCTTGGAACAGGGGTCTCCACATCTGGACTTGGCCCCTTTCTTGCACCACGGAATCACCCACGGGCTGCTCCACTTGGTCACCTTCTTGCAGCAGGGGTCGTAACACGGCGTCAGGACCCTGGCGGCTTTCTTGCCGCACGGGTCCACGCACGTGGTGACATACTTGGTGACCTCCTGACAGCAGGGGTCCACACAGGTGGTGACACGCTTGGACACTTCCTGACAACACGGATCCACGCACGTGGTGACACGCTTGGAGACCTCCTGACAACACGGGTCCTGACATGTTGTGGTGCACTTGGAGACCTCCTGGCAGCAGGGGTCCACACAGGTGGTGACACGCTTGGACACTTCCTGACAACACGGATCCACGCACGTGGTGACACGCTTGGAGACCTCCTGACAACACGGGTCCTGACATGTTGTGGTGCACTTGGAGACCTCCTGGCAGCAGGGGTCCACACAGGTGGTGACACGCTTGGTGACCTCCGGACAACACAGGTCCACGCAGGTGGTGGTGCACGTGGTCACTTCCTTACAACACGGATCTTGGCATGTGGTGACACACTTGGTGACTTCCTTACAACACGGATCCTGACACTTGGCGACTTGCTTACAACACGGATCTTGGCATGTGGTGACACACTTGGTGACTTCCTTACAACAGGGATCCTGACACGTTGTGACACACGTGGTGACCTCCTTACAGCACGGATCCTGACACGTGGTGACCTCCTTGCAACATGGATCTTGGCATGTCGTGGTGCACGTGGTGACCTCCTTGCGGCAAGGATCCACACATGTCCTGGTGCATTTGGTGACCTCCTTGCAACACAGATCTTGGCATGTGGTGACACACGCGGTGACCTCCTTGCAACACGGGTCCTGGCATGTCGTGGTGACACACTTGGAGACCTCCTGGCAGCAGGGATCCTGACATGTCCTGGTGCACGTGGTGACCTCCTTACAACATGGATCTTGACGTGTGGTGACACACTTGGTGACCTCCTGACGACACGGATCCTGGCACGTGGTGACACACGTGGTGACCGCCGTACAACACGGATCCTGACACGTGGTGACACACGTGGTGACCGCCGTACAACACGGATCCTGACACGTGGTGACACACGTGGTGACCGCCGTACAACACGGATCCTGACACGTGGTGACACACGTGGTGACCGCCGTACAACACGGATCCTGACACGTGGTGACACACGTGGTGACCTCCTGACGACACGGATCCTGGCACGTGGTGACACACTTGGTGACCTCCTTGTGGCAGGGGTCCACACATGTCCTGGTGCACTTGGTGACTTCCTTACAACACGGATCCTGACACGTGGTGACACACGTGGTGACCTCCTTACAACACGGATCCTGACACGTGGTGACCTCCTTGCAACACGGATCTTGGCATGTCGTGGTGCACTTGGAGACCTCCTGACAACACGGATCCTGACAGGTGGTGACACACGTGGTGACCTCCTGACAACACGGATCCTGACAGGTGGCTGTGGAGCTCTTGGCCACCTCCTGGCAGCAATCCCGCCTGCTGGTGCTGTACTCGGTCACCCGGCAGCAGCAGCAGCAGGGGTTCCCGCAGGTCCTGGTGCCCCCGGACACGCCCTGGCAGCACGGGGGGACACGCGTGGTGGCCACCAGGCCGCAGGGATTGGCACAGCCGGTGGCCTGGGCCACGGCCAGGCCGCCCAGGCTGACATAGGTGGTGGTGCCGGGGTAGCAGCAGGGGATCCCGCAGGGAGGGAGGCACTGGAAGCTTCCGCCGGTGCCGCAGGAATCCAGGCTGGATCCCACGGGGAAGCTTCGCGCCAGGACGGCGGGAGGGGGGATGCAGATCTGGCTCAGCGGGCAGCCCGTGGGGCGACGCATTTTTGGGGGGGAACGTGGGGGAGGCTGGAAGCAGGAAAGGGATAAAATTTAAAAGGTGTGAGAACATTCCGGGCTGTTTTGTACCCAAAATTAAACCACCTTTTTTTTTTTCCCCACAGAATCCTGAACTGGGAAAAAACAGCCGTGGGGAGGAGGTGACTCCACATGAAAACATTTCAGACAAATTTGTAGCTATTTTCAAGCAATTTCCTCTCAAAACAGGAAGAAAAAATGATTTGGGCTCCTTTAGGGTTTCTGGAAGGTCTGAAGCCTCCACCTGCCCACACCAAAGGATGAAACTTTGCCATTCCTTCCCTAACTTCACCCAAAAAGGCTCCGGATCACCCCGCCCTCATCCAGAGGACACCAGTGGGGGCTCCAGCCTGGAAAAGCTCCCCAAGGAAAGGCTCGGCCGCCGCTGCTTTTCCCACAAAATCTGCCCGGCTCTTCCCACCCCGATTCCTCCTTGCGGGCAGAGCCTTCCCCAGAGTCTCCACTCGTTATCACCCCTCCCACGCCTCCCCTTTGAAGTCCCAGCTTGGCCTTTTGATCTCTCCCAAATCCAACAATTCCCCGGGTGAAGCCGGTCAGGAGACAGAGAGACAGAATTTTGTCTTCCTCAACCGAGAAAGAGCAAAACCCGCAGCGAATAAACCCCGGAGAAGCCGGAATTAAAATCTGGGGGAATCCCAACGCCAATATCCCCGAGCAGAAACGCTTTTAAAGTCTTTTAATTTGCTTCTGCGCGGCTCCAAAATGAAAGAAATAAAACCCCAAGCACCAGGTGACTTCCCGGGAAACCGAGCCGGACTTACCCAATTCTCCACCAGGCAGCACCAAATGAAACCAAAAATGGCTTGAGGAACTGGGGAATAGGAATCCTTTTATAGGATTTCGGTGTCCGTGGCTCCGGAAGTGAGACACCTGAGGGGTATGGAAATCAAATATTTAATAATCCAGACCTGCTCCTCTCCAATCCTTCAATTACTCCGCTTGACATTATAATTTTTAATGTCACCGAGGTGGGACATGAGACTCTTATGACTGCGAGGAATTCCCCATCCAGGAATTTCCTACGGACTGGGAAGTGCGGAGCGGATGAGGCAGCCTGGAAACAATCCCCCTCGGGATTAAACTCTGGGGGGAAAAAAAGAGGTTTTGGTGCATTTCCTTGCAGAGCTGGGATGGGATTCTGGAAGGGGCTTGGTTCGCTCACAGTATTCCTTCTGCTGGGAATTTTACTCCCGATAATCTGGGAATTTGCCTCGGTGGGAAGAGCCTCTCCATGAATATTTTGGATGGTTCAGGGAGGCCCCAGGATCATCCCCAAGTCCTTTCTGGGGTGGGAAAAATCCTTCGGAGTGTCCAAATCCGCTTTTTCCTCAAGGTCCCTGGAACATCTGGGTGGTCTCAGCTGTGGGACCCCAATTGGACACAGCTCCAGATGTGGTCCAGGAATTCCTCCAGGGATGGCCACTCCAAACCTTCCTGGGCAGCCCCTTCCGAGGCTTTTCCCCCTTTCCAGGAGGAATTTTCCCAAATTTCCCACCCTGAGCCTCCCCTGGCCCAGTTCCCTCTTGTCCTGTCCCTGTTCCCTGGGATCAGATCCCAAATCCCACCTGGAAGAGCCCGAAATTCCTCCTGAATCCCCTTTTTCTCCAGGCTGAGCCCCCCCAGCTCCCTCAGGATTTTCCAGAACCTTCCCCAGCCCCGTTCCCACCCCTGGCTCCAACTCCAGCCCCTCCACGTCCCTTTCCACGATTGTCCAGAGCTGGACACAGCACCGGACATTCCCCAGGGGACAATCCCTGCCCGGGTCCCGCTGCTCATTTTTGCCACAATTCTTCGATTTTCTCTTTTTAACACAGATCTGATCGATTTGATTTGTTGGGATTTGTTGGCCTCCAGGGAAATCTCCACATTTCCAGGATCTCCAGGATCTCCCAGCTCCAGCAGGTGACACCCAGGGCGATGAGGGACGAGCTCTTGGATCTCGGTGGCCTTTGGGTTCGTTTTTGTGCCCATTTCTGGTGCCGGGAGGTCACGCCCAGCCCGAGAAGGTGACAAACTTCACGCGGCCGGGAGCCGCCGTCTTCTCCCCGCGGAAAATCCGTCCCAGCCTGGAAAAGAAGGAGGAGAAACCCAACCAGTTCTCCCGAGACATCAAAGGCTCTGGAATTCCTCCCCTGCTCGCTGCCACCCAGCCCGGAGTCACCCGGTGACACAACCAGGGGCACGCACCACAGGTGAGGCCATTTCCACCAGGAGACCAAGGAGGGGTTTGGCTCTTCCCCCTCCAAATTTGGGTGGTTTTTTGGTTACTTCCTGGAAATAAAAAAAATTCGGGATTCGTGACCGCTTAGGTTGGGAGTTTGGAGGAAAAATTTCCTTTTTTTTTTTTGCTTCGCTGTTCCCTCAAAAAGAGCTTTTCTTGCTCCAATCTGTTCTCAGCCAAACAATTCCAATGATATTCCAACTTTTTTTTTTTTTTGGAGGAGGGGAGTGGAGGACGGGGATGGATTTGATTCGCATTTTTGGGTTTCTGAGTTTTCCAGCTGGGTGGAATTCGGCTGTTTTGTGGTAAAACGAAGGGAAAAGGGTGGTGGCCACTCCTCCGGTCACCTGCCTGCTCCTCACACCAGGACAACGGAGGCGGGATTTGAGTCAGAACTTCGGAAAACATCACGAGACGAGCGGTGAGCGAAGAGTTTCCAGCAGCTCGGTGGAAAAACAGGGAGGAAAAAGGTCAGGCGTGGCTAAAAATAAAGGAATCCCCCAAATCCCACATCCCTAATGGACCTCACGAGGTGTTGGGCTGTAGGATGTCGGAGCATCCCAAAATCCTGCCCCGTCACCGGGTGATTATTGGAGAGCCAGCCGGGAATCCCACTCATTTCCCAAATTCCTCCCTGGCGTCTGCGGGTGAATTCCCGAGCTCCGGCCACGGAAATAGGCGTTTTCCATTAAAAATAATTAGGCAAATCATCCCTGGCGGGGCAGAGGCGGAGCGAGGCCGTGGGGAGCTCCGGAGGCTCGGGAACATCCCTGGAACATCCCGGGATAACGCGGCCGCCTCCGTCCTGCCGATCCTGAGCCAGGTGAGTCTTTTTGGGATCCCACAGATCCTTTTTCCGGAATGGATTCCCGGGAAAGATGGAGAAGGGGGATTTATGGTGCTCAGTTTCCTCTGGGGTAAAGTTTCAAGGGGTAAAAATCTTCCCTTGTGCTGGCTTGGTTGTAATTCCAGAATTCTCATGGATGCTCTGGAAAATTCCTGTTGTTCCAGCACTGGATTTAGTGGGATTAAACCCCGTCCTGCCAGGAGATCCAGGATCCATTCCAAACAACTGGGGAAGGGAAAAACAGCTGGGGAAGGGAAAAACAGCTGGGGAAGGGAAAAACAACTGGGGAAGGGGAAAAACAACTGGGGAAGGGAATGAAGCAGCTTGAAATTTATAAACATGAAAACGTGAATCAAATCCGTTGTTATCCCGAAAAAAAAAAAAGCTGGGAAATGGTTGGAATTGTTTGGCTGAGAGCAGATTTTCATGAGAAAAGCTGGGTTTGGGAGTTTGAGGAGAAATGTGAAAAAATGAGGAGTTTTTCCCTGATTTTTTTGGCTGGATCGGGTGTGAAATTCTTCTTTTTTCTTCCAGCTCTCCGTCGCAGGGAGATGAATTCCCAGTGCCCGCCCTGTTCCCGCCTGGATGAGGCTGCCCAGAGCAATCCCTGCGCCGTGGTGGCCCCGGAGCAGAATTCCCAGGCGGATCCCTGCCCCTGCCAGGACCTTTGTCCCTCCTGTCCCTGTGGCCCCCCTCAGGTCCCCCCCGGGGCCACCTCCCCGTCCCTGCCCTGCGTGGATCCCGTGAAAATCCCGAGCTCGGGAGAGGAGCCCTTCACCATCGAGACGCCCGGGATGTGCGTGATGACGTTCCCGCTCCAGAAATCCATCCTGACCGTGGAGCTGTGTCCCCCGGACGCCGCCGGGACCTGCACGGAAAACCTGGAAAAGCTTTCCCAGGAATTCCCAGCCGTGGCTCCAGAGCCCTGCGCCCTCCAGGTGCTGGAGTTGAGTGTGGAAGAGCCCTGCCAGGCCCAGGGCACGATCCTGGGGGATCCCTGCGCATCCCAAAGCGGGATCTCCCTGGATCCCTGCTCATCCCAAAGCGGGATCTCCATGGATCCCTGCTCATCCCAAAGCGGGATCTCCATGGATCCCTGCACATCCCAAAGCGGGATTTCCATGGATCCCTGCACATCCCAAAGCGGGATCTCCCTGGATCCCTGCGCATCCCAAAGCGGGATCTCCCTGGATCCCTGCTCATCCCAAAGCGGGATCTCCCTGGATCCCTGCACATCCCAAAGCGGGATTTCCCTGGATCCCTGTGCATCCCAAAGCGGGATTTCCATGGATCCCTGCACATCCCAAAGCGGGATTTCCATGGATCCCTGCACATCCCAAAGCGGGATTTCCATGGATCCCTGCTCATCCCAAAGCGGGATTTCCCTGGATCCCTGCGCATCCCAAAGCGGGATTTCCATGGATCCCTGCACATCCCAAAGCGGGATTTCCATGGATCCCTGCACATCCCAAAGCGGGATCTCCCTGGATCCCTGCACATCCCAAAGCGGGATCTCCATGGATCCCTGCTCATCCCAATCCCAGGGACTCGGGGACGCCGGAGACGCCAAGGACACCAAATCCCGCTCGTCCCCACGGAGCCCGTTCCGCCTCAACTCCTGCACTTCCAGCATCGTGGAGCGCTGCCTTTCCCGCTGCCAGAGCTGGCTCCGGGGCAAGAAATAGGATTGGGATCAGTGGGATGAGGAAAAGGGGGTCCCTGCCCGGCTCGGCGGAGTCTGAGCTTCCCACAGGTTGTGAAAAATGCGGGAATTGCTTCAGGTGAGATTAAAACAAACAAACAAACAAAAAAAGGTGTTTTTTCAATCATCTCTTAATTACTCCCTCATTTGGATTGCCCAACCAGAAGTGCAATAAA